GCTGTTCTTGATTCAAGAAGAACAAGAGTAGTTGCCTCACTGTCTAATTTTGTAGAATTAGAACAATTCTGTTGACCTAGTCAGTCAACCAGAAGGGATTAGATTTAGCCCTAAACAGACCTAGCCTTGTTTGGAGTTTAACTGTATCATGCCATATAAATATTTACCAGATGGTTAGCAGTTCCTTCCAACAACTGTACTAGAGATAAAGTTCCAGAAAGCTCATAAAAACAGGATTTTTCCAGGCATGGTCTCAGTTCTTGCTCTCTGCAGCCACACAGGAGAGACCACGTATAGAAAAAGTATCAGAAGGATAGGGATAAATTCATCCCTCTGCCCATGGTGGCACCAACTGTGATCTTGCCAGTATGAATTTTCTGTCCCCAGGAAGAATACCCCACTCCCCCCCCCCCCCGCAAAAAATGAAAAGTGACAGTCTCTTTTGCTGGATCTGGGAGAATGTTGAGTACATCACTGATTGAGTCATTTTGCATCATTTGCTGACAGTCACAACTGCCTGTGAAAGATGATGGCTGCGTGGTACAATCTGGGGTATTTGTTACTAGCCATGATGACAAAAACGATGCAGTGTATGTGGTGTTTTGCTATCACAACACAAGTTATACTGTACTGTACTATGTTTGTGTTGTGATGCTCCCTTATTTAATACCTTTTCAATCATCCAATCTAAAAACCATCACTTTAGCTCTTCCCATTTTCAGTAAAAAGTCCATAAAAGATTTAATACTCTGCAAAAGTACTTGTTATTTTAACTTCTGTTGTGGGTTCTTCAATTTATCTTCATTTTATACACAGATAATAATCTTGTTGGCCAGTAAAATAGTCCCCTCTTCTATGAATGTATCCATTATAAACAAATATATTCTTCCAGAATGGTTCAACAGTCCTCTCCTCCCTTTTATAACTTTTACTCCCTTTCATAATAAACATTTTTCTTTGTTTTAATTTTGTAATCCATAATTGGGCATTTAAAAAATTAAAATAGGTTTTTTTTAATGTCCATAGCACTTTAGTCCCTTTCAGTATTCCATGCTTCTGTAAGCACATGATCTTCTCGGATCTTCACATCTCCCTTCTTTTCCTACTTATCTCTTTGTTTAACACAGTCAGCCAATCAACTTCCCTAATAAAGTTAGTCATTTTTCTTTCCCACGGAACTATATTATCTCTTCCTTTAATTTGAAAAAAATACTTTAAATAAGGCACTATTCCAAATTGAACTGTCTCTTTAGTCCATGTTTTAACTTTCTTACTCCAAAATCCCAATAACCTTTTGCATTTAATTCTTTTCAAATCTTTGTAACTGGTTCCTTCTTTTTTTACTTTAATCTTTCCTGAATCAAAAGTATAATCACCCAGGTACCATTAAGTGCTACTGCTACTCTGAAGGTCTCTTTACATTCTAAATTTGCTCCATTTAATCCTACATTAGAAAGTGGATCTGGCATACTCAAGTGCCCTTTAAAATAACCTTTGCATGAGGCTGTGGACATAATGTTTTCTTCCATAGCTCCTGGCGCTCTATTCATAGGTCACCCATAGGATAACTCCAGACCCTCTGGGCTTCCTTGTAAGAAACTGCTTCCTCGGAGCTCATGTGGACAACCTCATGACTTCTCCTGTTCCAGAGGAGCTCTGTTAGCTCAGGCATATCACCCTGATGTCATTCTGCATCATCCCTGCTGTTTATGGAGAGGTCCTGTTGTGCCATGTTTCCATTTGGAAGTCCAACTGTTATGGTTCGTATCAGTAGGAGGACTATGTCGTATAAAATAAGGAAATGGAAAATTTACACTTGTTTGGGGATTAGTTTGAGTTACAGATTCGGAATTATCTAGCGGAAGGAGAACTGCTTTCCCTTACAACTTACCTCAACAATAAGTACAAATACTAAATGTACACATATGCACATAAAACCCGGTAACCTGCAACCACAGAAACCGTTTCAAAGAATAGCGGTGCTCTGAATACAATGCTAACTTTATGCATGCCAAAAATACTGCAAGCATATGTAATACAAATCTGTTTGATATATACCATATTTTCCGGCGTATAAGACGACTGGGTGTATAAGACGACCCCCGACTTTTCTTGTTAAAATATAGGGTTTGGGCTATACTCGCCGTATAAGACTACCCCTCTTCCAACGCACACCAAATAAAAATTAAAAAAACATCAACTGGCTCACCCACAATGTAAAAGCAGCTGTGCTAGACCCAAAATGACCCCTGCAACAAGCAGGAACCTCACACAGCCACAGAAAGCCCAAAAAAACAACTTTGACACTTTACACACACACAACACAACACAACTGGCTCACCCACAATGTAAAAGCAGCTGTGCTAGACCCAAAATGACCCCTGCAACAAGCAGGAACCTCACACAGCCACAAAAAGCCCAAAAAAACAACTTTGACACCTCACACACACAAAATTCCACATACAGCTTTGTGAGATTTTGTGTGTTTGTGTAGTTAGAGTGAAACACTACAGAAACACACTAAATCTCAGAAAGCTGCACAAATATTATTTTATTTTATTTTATTTTTATTTTTATATGAAAACTAAATTTAAAACTTCCTAAACTTTAAATGGCTAGGTCTAAAAAAGAACAACTAAAAAAAACCCCAATTAACTATTTTTTTTAAAGCTCCCAAAGGGGGAAAAAACCTACCCAATAAAACGGGGGTCTCCAACCTTGGCAACTTTAAGACTTGTAGATTTCAACTCCCAGAATTCCTCAGCCAGCTTTGTTTTGCTGGCTGAGGAATTCTGGGAGTTGAAGTCCACAACTCCCTGCCTGCTTGATTGCAGGCAGGGAGTGGCTTGCTGATGGAATGGATTCAGGCAAGCGAAGCAAGGCAAGCATTGCGACTAGCAGCTAAGGTAAGCAAGCTGGAGGGGGAAAACTTTTTTCCTTTTACATGGCTCTGGCGATCCATGTTGAGTTGCCTGATTAGCAGGCAACTCAGCTGGGATCGTCGGAGCTTGGATCGCCAGAGCCATGGCTCTGGCGATCCCAGCTGCGTTGCCTGATTAGCAGGCAACTCAACTGGGATCATCAGAGCTTGGATCACCAGAGCCATTTAAGGCTCGTCAGAGCCTTTTGGGCTGGTCTGCCTGGTTACAGGAGAATGACACCCGGCGTATAAGACGACCCCCGACTTTTGAGAAGGTTTTCATGTGTTAAAAAATCGTCTTATACGCCAAAAAATACGGTGTGTGTGTGTGTGTATTATATATTATATAATTTGTATTATAATATATATAATTCGTTTTTCTTTCTTTTTCGTAGGTTTTATGTATATTTCTCTTTAGCCATGTTCTACCTACGTAAACCAAGATATTATGCAGCCCTAGTTCAGTGAATTGTGAATTGTGATTTCACTGAACTAGGGCTGCATAATATCTTGGTTTACGTAGGTAGAACCTGGCTAAAGAGAAATACATATACATATACATATACATATACATATACATATACATATACATATATATGGATGAGAAAAATGTTGGCTTTGTTTCAACTTGCATTGTTAGCTTATTTAAGAGTGACACACAGTTTCATCCAGAATTGAAACAGACATATACAGTTTTTTTTCTGCCTACTTTCCCCCATAACAGTCCTGTGAGGTAGATTGGGTTTTCATGATTGAAAGTGGACTTGACTTAGAGAAATATGGGTAGTAATACGTAGTTCTAGTTGAGATCAATCTTCAATTTGGTGCCTTCTAGTTACACTGAGAAAATTGACCTGAATAGACAAAATTTTAAACTAACTAAATGTGAATTCTCATAGAAAACTCAGATTGTGTGAGACATTCCTCATTTAATTTTGACTCCGATCAATTTAAAAGAAGCTTTGTTATAGAACTTATTGTGGATGGATTTTATCCTCCAGACCAGGGGTGTCAAACTCAAGGCCCCAGGGCCGATCTGGTCTGTGGGGTGTTTAGATCTGGCCTGCGGAGCCGCCCTGGGAACAGTGAAGGACTGGTCCATGGTGCCTCTGCCAGTAAAAACGGAGCTCGGGAGCTCTGTTTTTGGCTGCAACAACCTCCTGCAATCCTCTGCCAGCGAAAACAGAGCTCAGGAGGGTCGTGAGCTCGGGTTTTTGTAGGCAGAGCACTTGGGCCACCACAGGCGCCCACGACACGAGTGATGTTGAGCTGGCCACACACCTCTCCCCGAGGTCAAACACAACCCTGATGCAGCCCTCAATGAAATCAAGTTTGACACCCCTGCTCCAGACTAATGCTTTACTTCCCTTGAGCACAAATAGGTTTTAAATAATTTCCAATGCAATCCAGCATGCTCTTTATTATGTCCACTTTTCCTTCTTTCGCCTGCTTCCAAAGATGTATACACAAATCTTTTTTTGTTGTTGTTGCTCCAATTAATTGGGCATCTTGGGCTCAATTTCTGGAGGTTCTGAATGGCATTTTGGAAAGCTAAATGTTGGACTGCAGGGGCTTTCATCTAGACCCAGATGGGAATGTCTTTTCAAGCAGCAGCTAATGAGGTGTGGTTCTTGGTTCCATTATCACTTCTCTCTCTGCCCCCCAATCATGTTCTATTCTGAACATCTCAGAGACTATTTTTAAAGGCATTTTACTTTTATTATTGCTACTATTTGACATGTCAAGGTTCTGCTCTCTCTTTTTCTCTTCCATCCAGCTACAGAGTGGGGAAGGATGTGTATTTACCTCTATTAATATCAACCAAAGCAATGACTCAATCTCCTTGGCTCATTTTCAGCAGAAGTGCTTTTTAGCCAGAAGCTTTCAAAGAAGACTTTCCAAGGTTATTCTGCTTTAGATCCATCCCTGTATTCTAGGTTAACAAGATCCAGTTGGCTAATCTCACATCTTGTCCTTCTGATTTGTATAATGGAAAATGGTAATTCCATACCAAGTATGTTTTTTGTTTCTTGATGTTCATCCCAGTTTGCTAATTGAAAATGTTTTCTTTCTGCTTCAGGTTGACAGGGATTTGGATGAGTCTAAGAAGTAATAGGAGCAAGACAAGGAAGAACTAAAAGCCAATTTGCCAGGCAATGCAAAGAACTGAGGAGATACATCTTCTCTGCCATATGGCTATGGCAAGATCTTATAATCTTCCATCAGGAATGATATGGATTCATAACTCAATTTATTAAGAACTACTGTGAGCTGGCCTGAAGCCTACCACAGTCATGCTCAACTGTTCCATATTCTTTCTGGAGAGTCAGAATCCTTCCTCTGAGCAAACATGTAACACTGGCAGTCAACTAATCATCCACAGTATCAGCAAGAAATCATACATTCATTTCCCTTAGATATTAAGGGCAAGGAAGAAGAGAAAGATTCCAAGTTGGATGATAGAGATTACATCATTGTGGATAAACCCATGAGCCTGTCCAACTGAAACAATGCCAATAAACCCAGATGATTCAAGAGTGCATTACATGCATCTCCAGCTGTTGACACTCTTTCTTCTCCAGTTGCTCTCATAGCTTCATTTGCCTCTTGCTTAGTCTTCCTTTAGGGAATCATTTTAACAAAAAGATGAAGCTGAGACACTTACACAGGGAGTGGCATCTGAAGCAAACTAGTGGAAACACTGCAATAATTGTGCCAGTGCAATTTAGCAATATTATTGCTAAAATGCCACAGAGCCATATTTGCATTTGAAATCTGATGTAAGTATATAAAGCTTGGCATCTGTGGGGTAATATTATCATGCATGTTTTGCCATTGTCCCCCATTTGTCCACTCTGTGGACAGCCTTGTTAGGGTCAGGCTGCAAATTTAAACAGAGCATTGATCTGGCAGATGTACATCCCGAAGCCAGGCATTGTAGGAAAAGCTATTTCTGATCTGCCATAAGTTAACTTGCTAAAATTTCAGAAAAGCATTTTTTTACTCCTCAGTATCGGACCGTATACAAGTTTAAATATTAATGTTAATTTTGTTATTGTTTTGATAAAGATGCCTGGAGAGTGCTACATATCTAGTTAAAATAATGGACCTGGGGAGGGGGGGACATGTTCAATTTTATCTTCAGCTATGAATGTTCATTGGACAAGTTATCCTAGCCTCACAGCTTGGCGTGGGAGAAAAAATTGCAATATGAGGGAGCATTATATACATTGAGTTGTGCACCTCTTGGAGTACAGGTGAACTCTAGATATGGATATAACAGGGATGTTTTTCACTTGATGAGCGTACTTAGACCTCTGTGTGAGAAAATTTAAACTTACGCAGACAGAACACAGAAATCAAAGTATCTGAAACATTTCTGAATATCTCTAGGGCTGTAGGAGAAGTGGCAGAGTCTGGAGGCAAGATCAAAAGAAAGATCAGTCTAGAATCCATACGTAGCCACAAACATACTAAATTCAACCCACTGTGAATTCTATTGACCCTTATCTAACGTCTAGCAAGCGCTAACCATTAGTTCAGAATATTCCACTGTTGAATTGGAACCTCAAATGCGGTCCTGATTTTTTGCCTCTGAGAGGGGCAGAAGAACACGCTTGAAAAAAATGATCTAAGATAATTCATTTATTACTATAAGATTGGTAAAGTTGAAAAAGATGGGAATTGCAATTATTTCTTTCAAGACTCTTACCTTCTTTTTAAAAAAATGAGGTACAAGAGGAAAGAAGAAGGAAGACTTCCACTGCTATGTCTTAAGTTTGCAGATTTTGCTAAATAGTCAACCATGTTTTACACAGCATGATGACTAGGTCCATGCATCATTCTGAGCTATAATAGCATTTGGTTGGGTTTGCCTCAGATAATCTGTGGCCTCGGCCACTGTGATTTGTAAATCATATTTTATGACATAGCATTATGACTGAACTAGGCTGAAATGGCTTCTTCAGTAAACCCTACTTGGAATAAAACTTGGCCTACTGTGATCCATAATCCCAGCCATTGTATGGATCAGTCCTGTTCATATTGTGCACTTTATTTTTATTTATTTATTAAATTCATTTTCCTCCCATCTCACCGCTCTAAAGGAAACTCTCGAAGTTAGGCTCTAATTAATTAACCTCTTTGAAAATATGTTTTCACAACAATTCAAAGTCAGCTGGAAGAAATTACCGCCCAAAAAGTACCCCTCAGACCGGAAACTTACCTATTAGGTATACTGACAAAGGACTATAAAAAAGAGACACAATACTTGATAATACACATCCTAACTGCAGCTAGAATCGTTTTCGCACAAATGTGGAAATTGGAAAACACGCCACCAGAAGAAAAAATAATACAAAAAATTATGGAATGTGCAGAAATGGACAAATTGACCAAAGAAATACAAGGAAAAGAAGATACAGACTTTTACTTAATTTGGCAAGAATGATACAAATGGCTAGATAAAAAAGACACGAAATAAGAGACTACCACCCAATGATACAAAAATAAGGAAATAAAAGGAAATATCGTTATATAAACATTGATACAAGATGAAAGATAATATATATAGATATATTGATATACAATTACCGAAGTAACTCTACTTACAAAGTTCAAGTTATGTGACTTGATTTCATTGTATAGTTAGTTTATGTCTAGTTTGTTTTAACGTTTATGTCTATATGTGTATGTTTGTTTACAATAATAAAAAAAAAAGAAAATATGTTTTCACTCCTTGAGGCTGGACTAAAACCAAGCTACAGTACAGTAACTAGCCATAACTCAAAAGGTTTCTTTATTAAAGGATAAACTGTCAGCCATTTACAAAATAGAAAATAGGGTATTTTCTAGGCAGGCTAGAGAGCTGGGCTGACATAAGCACTGAAGACATCTCTGTACCTCTCAGAACAGCCGGGAAAGCTGAAGTCCCTCTGTGCCACAGAATCCAGCAAAAATGGAAATTACTCAGAGTGCCTGCCTAGTTGTTTTTTAGTTCCAGCCTGGGAGAAGAAAGGGAATGTTCAAGTGGAATTAAATGCATATGGCTTTTTAAAATTAATTTTTGCATCCTTTGCAAAAAAAATCGTATTTGCCATCTCTTTGAATGAATGTTAAAATGTTTATAAAGCCAAGTGCATTCTGCTGTGCAGATTAAATGCTAAATGGTCATTTAATGACTGTAGAGAAGGGTCATGTTTCTTTTGCTGCTTTTATCTTTCAGGTGACATTATTGAGGACTTTTAAACCATTTTCTTTGATCTTCTTTTAGTCTGTCTCTGCAAAAGCTCTTCACAATACCTGTAGCCTTTTTTTTTTACTCACCTTCAAATAATATGTTTTACAATAGTATTATTAGGTTAATTTGATCTTTATTTGTAATTTCTTGCCTGCATACGCACAGCCTTAGAAGCAGGCTGTGCTTCTAAGGCTCCACTTCCTACAGTGGAGTGAAGCCTTGTTCAATCCCAACATAGAATAGCAGTAGCACTTAAGACTTACATACCACTTCATAGTGCTTTACAGCTCTCTAAGCAGTTTACAGCATCAGCACATTACCCCCAACAATCTGGGCCTTCATTAGATTAGGGTTAGGCTATCTGGTGCTTTTCAGATATTTTGGATTTCAATTAACATACCGTATTTTTTGGAGTATAAGATGCACCTTTTTCCCCCCTAAAAGGGGGTGCAAATTTAGGTGTGTCTTATACATTGAATGTAGCCCCGCCCACCCACTGGCCCCCACTCTTTGGCCTCTGCCTCGCAGCAGTTACCTCCTTGCAAGCAAACAGCAAGAAAAAACAGCTTCTTTCAGCTTCAGCACAGCCTAATTAGCACAAGTTGATTGGATCGGCCTCCCGACCCTCAGCTGATTTGCTCTCAGCTGTTGTGCGCAGGATTCTGCTGCTTGCTGTAAAGAGGTAAATTGCTGGAGCAGATTTTTTTTCCCCTTGTGCTAATCAAGCTATGCTGAAAACGAAACTGAAAGTAAAGCAGGCTGTTTGCTGTTTGCTGCAACAAGGTAAAATTGCTCAGAGGCAGAAGGAGATTTCTTTTTCTTCTTTTCCTCACTAAAAAAGATAGATGTGTCTTATACTCCGAAAAATACGTTAAGTCCCAGAAAGCACAGACAAGGAGTTGTAGAACAAACACCCAGAAGGTACCAGTGTATGACTCTGGATGGTTTAGGCTGGTAGATACCTGTACATTTCATAATGTAAGTGTGCGCTGGGTAAAATTTTACATGGTCCTTCTCACATTGCCCATCATTTAGCTTCACTGGTTGACACCAGTTGCTACAAAAAAGGATGGCAAAGTTGTGAGACCACTAGTGAATCACAATGATATAAAATGGTACAAGTATTCTTGTTTCTTTGTATCCAACTTCCAACATAAGTAGCGAATGGATCCATCTATAAGGCATGCTTGAACCTGAACCCCCTGCTAATCTTGCTGGGCACTCTGGACTATTCCTGGTGACTGAGATAACCACTTTGTGCATGTTCTGTCTACCATTACTCTAATGCCAGCTATTTCGTTAGGTGGCTTTTGCTGGTTTCTCGCTTTAAAGCCATTAATGAATCTACTTGTCTCAATGCCACTCCCCTGGAAAACTATGTTTCTAAATGCCATGGGCCAAATTCCTTGTTAAAGAGAAGAGAGAAGAGTGGCTGTAATGGACTGTAGAAGCAACATCTCAGTTTTTCAGCACACAAGTCAGCCAAAAGCCTTCTTTGAACTCTTTGAGTTTTGCTTCATTTCGAAGATCAGGACCTGCTACATTACAAACGTCTGGGAAATGTCTACTCTTAGCTTGACATGTCTAATTGGATGGTCAGGGAAGTATGAAAAGTAAAGTATGAAGGTAACATACTTTTCTTCACAGCAGTGAACTGAGCACAATGGCACACAGGCCTTTTATTCTAGAAATGTTTTACTTTGCATGCCATGTATTTCTAATGCTTTATATTAAAAATATTTTGCAGTCTTGTGGATAGATCTGTTTGAATGGAAGACCAGATGGAACACCCTCTAGGCTAGATTAGAAACTTGAAACCCATCCTGGAAGAAGTAAAAAATCACTTCCAACTGCCAACGATTGCTAAGAAAGATGCAAGATTATCTTTGTAGCCATTAGATGTCAAGCTCAACTTAAGAGCTTCTTTAGATCCTCCTAATATTGGCTACCTCACCTTTCATCTCACCTACTGTACCTCAATATGCATTCATGGTGCTGATCTGCCATAAAGCAGAATAGCTTATTCGTCAGATCCCACCTCCAATATTATGTCCATTCCTAGATAGCACACTTTCATGATTCAGAGAAATTAAGGTTGGTTTAGTAACCCCCATCCGTATGCAGGCT